AAAGTATTTATACCATTTTAATGGTCCTTCGAGACTTTGAAAGATTAAAGTTCGAGTGCCTGCCAGTTTCTATTTTTCTAAGTATATGTTTAAACTATAAAAAATATAAACATATCTTAAAAAATAAAATATTTATAACTATTGTATAGAAAGATAATAGATGAATCTTATCTTTTTTTTGGTCCTTCGAGTCGGATTTTATTTTTTCTATAAAAGTTCTATTATTTCACCCAAAAATTAAATGCTCATAACTCAAGTTCTCAACTGTGAACTTTAATCCGTGATAAATAGAAGCCTCTGCCATTATCCTGGGGAACCGGAACTAATCCCATTGCCAGGACTTGGAACAACAAAGGGAATATAGCTGCAGGCGGCCAAAGGCTTAAGTGGGTGGATGGGCAAAGTCTTGGTTCGAGTGGCTTGAGCCACCATATGAGCCACCACCACGTTGTGCATATGCATGGCATGTAATTTAATATTTTATGGCATACAATTAGGCGCAATGCAAATGCCCCGGGCCATTGCCACATGCAACTGCTACGTGCTACGTGCCTCAAATATACATACTCTGGCTATACTCCGGCTTGCCACATCATACTATTGCCACCCATAAATGCCACCCAAAATCCGGCTTAGATGCGCTGCAGTTGTTATTAGTTATGTCGGTGGCAATTAGCCGAAATAATTTGTAATCTTATTAGCTGGCACAAATGTCTATCAAACGGGCTCACATCCTAGCATCCTTCAGTTCGCCTCACTTCCACAAAATTATAGTTTAATTTTCAGTTTCAAAGATTCAAGAATAGGAACCCCCTGGGGCATGCAAAATTCATTTTAAATCAACCAAGAAACATAATGGGTCTTTAATGCTTATATTAACTTTCAATGTTACTAGAATAGTATATTACTACATCACTACATCATTTATCATATTTAATCTAAGCCTTTATCTTTAATAACCTTAACTATTCTTCCTTTCGTTATAAGGGCCTAATGCCTTTTCATTTAATTTAATATCATAATTTTCATTTAATATCCAAATACATATATCTATAAAGAGCTTCTCTTTTGTTAAATTTTACATTCAAAAATAAATCATAAAATAAAGGAACGATGTAACTTTATAATAAATATACATACATACTATATAAGAAAGCTGTTAAACTTATTCCGACTTCAAATAGCTGACTGTGCACCGAATTCTTGCCACATTTTTATTTTTTGTGCCAACATTTGTCCTCAAAGTTGGCCATAATTTATACGGGTCTGGCGTCTACCAATTGGCTACCAATCCTTGTTGACCAGGCAGGTCCTGCTGCTGCTGCTGCTGCTCCTGCGGCTCCTCCTCCTGGAAAATCGTGTGTGTGCAAAGTGCCATTGTCTTGGCTGAGGGGACAGATTTATGGTCTGCAGAGGCAGACGACTCAAGAGGTTAATAATAAAGCTCAATAAAATTCCTCTCGACTCTTGGCTGCAGTTCTTCTGGCCTTTAATTTCCGGTTTGTTTCAATCGAGAATCAAAAAGTTCAGGTGCTTCAAAGGTCGTAAAAATTCTACCGGGGCCAACCATCTATCAAAAATTTATTTTTACTACACACAAAAAATTAAATTATATAGTCGGTCGCTCAACTTGATGAATAAGTGGCCATAAAAAAAAACCAAAAACGACTCAACTGAAAATGGAAATGAGGACAAAAACAGAAGGAGCTGGAGGTACTGGAGATATCTGGAGGCATCTGGACGTCAGCATAAAAATCAATCTAATTTCATTAAAGTCAGTCAACATAAAAAAGCGGACAGCGCTCCTTGTGCTGGGGGTTCTTTTCTCTTTTTTTTTAATATGGTATATATATGTATACCCTTACAGAGGGTATTTTAATATATTTTATCTAAAAAGTCCAAGAATATATCTATAAGAATGTCCTTTTTTCCACCATTTAGATTATACAAAGGCTGGTCTTTTTAGTTTTAAAATTTTGGGTATTTAGGGTATTTAAGTTTCCACTTACTTTGGGGTAAACTTTTCGTTTTTTTTTTTTTTGCTTTTTTTCATTTTTGTTCTTCCCATCCTTCAAGACAATGGATGGCCAATGGCCTATAGGGAGAGGACTTGGGAAATTTAATTTTGGGTGGCTATAGTGAGGGTGGGCTACTGAAATAAAAGGATACTGCGGTGAAAGTTTAAATAATATTAGCCAATTTCAAATAAATTGAATTGGTTAAGTTTTAAAGTCATTTTTTAAGTATATTTTACTTAATAATAAATAAAAATATTCGATAACTTATCGGTAAGGCAACCGTGACCGCCACATCCCTAAAATGAAGGTACAGTTGTGCTTGGCTGTGGGAGAGTGTGGAAAAAAGGCTGGAAAAGTGGCAACAAGGACGAGTAATTTCTTGCCAAGCATAATGTAAATCTCATGTTAGACCTCCACAGGCAATAAAACATTTCCCCATTTTCCACCTATCCATCCATCTCGTTCTTATGCCGCCTTAATGACACCACCCAACCCAACCACCCATTCAAACAACCCCATCCACCCATCCAACACATATGTGAAGGTTGTTTGGGTTCATAAATTCAATTCAATTCGACCAGCAGCTGCAGTTGATTTCCATTCTCAGTTTCAAGTGATTTTCCTAATGTAGTTCAAAGGAAACTGAAAACTCCTTTAAGTGAGTGGGAGGATGAAGGCGTGGCTGCCGCAAAAAGGGCTGACTAAGTGCTACCAAAGGGGGGCGGAGGTGGGGGTTCGTTAGCCTCATCTAATAAATTTTCACTACGCCAGAAAGTCAGAACAACAGTCTTTTTGAGTTTTTCTTTTCTGATATGGTTGTGGAGGGGCTGGAGGTTACAGATTTTTGAATAATATTTCACTTGCAGGTGGTTATGCATCATGTATGTGTGTGTGTTTGGGTGGTTGGGTTTGGGTTGGGTTTGGGTTAGGTGTTTGTAAAGAAAAGTCGCTGGTGTAATTGTCTGAAAAATTACCATGTCTACATGACACCCACGCACGCGCCGACCTTAAATCACATTTTTCCCCCAAGTGTGTGTGTGTTCGGGGGTATCCCAAAAATGAATGGGGTTTTCTCACTCCCCCCCCTAACATATATACACTTTCTACTTTTCTTCAGAGATTACTTCATTCCTTGAGTAATTGTTACAAAAAATTGAAATATATTTAATATCATCTTAAGAAACCTTAAGACCTTAAAACCCATTACAGATAGCATCTGAAAATAAACTAGAAAGAGGAATTCTTTTATGTTTAGTTTTTGTAGCATTTATTGGCTTTGTTATTATGATTTTTTAAAGGATACCTATTATTAGTAATTATTATTATTATACATATATATTTAAAAATCATCCCTCCAACCAGATCCAATCTCCCCATCTATGTTACTTGACTTTTTAAAGATATCTGGTCCTGGGCGCTCGATCTGCGGGTTGATATAAACCTTCGGTTTTACCTCAAAATTTCGATCTTCCAAATGAATATTTTGCGAATTTTTTGTTATTAGATCATATAGCACATTGTCTTTCTCTTCTAGCTCAGCTCGCAGCTTCGCATTTTGAAGATTAACATCGTTTAGCTCATCCTGAAGTTGATCGTTTTTGAAATTGATTCGATTTAGGCTTTGTCTCGATTCTATTAATTCACGATTTTGGTCTCGAAATCTTTTTTCCAGTTCCGCGTATTTCATGTTATTTTGATTAATCTTTTCTTCCGCGTTTTTGAGACGATCTTTATAAAATTTGATTAGAAAATCTGTATGTTCGCCTACCGGATGTTTTCCTTGCTCATCCGAATAGTTAAGATTCACTTCATGAAGCTTACTCTGAAACTGCTCGAGCTTAATATTAGTTTGGTGTAGGATTCTTTGAAAGTTCCTTAAGTCACGGCTAGTGTGGATCAACCTTGTATGGACTTCTTTGGATTTAACTTCAACATCAGTCGATTTATCCTGAGTCGCCGAATGTTTTTCCATCAATTTTGAATATTTAAGATTTATTTCGTTCAGTGAGTTCTGCAGCTCGGCGTTCGTCCTGTCCTTTGTCTGGCAAACCTCAAAGTATCTCATAAGAGGCTTCACAATGGGATAGCACACCGAAGCGCACTGATCCTCCTCCTCCTGAGATAGATAGCAGGACTAAGGAAATTGGAAGTAGTTTGGTTTACTTTTCGGAAATTAAATCACTTCACAGCGCAGTTACCTCCTGTTCGAGTCCCATGGAAACCGAAATTACCAACAGAAAGAGCGCTGGCAGTCGCATTATTAATATTATTATTATTTAAAAAAAAAAAATACACTTTAATGTTGAAGTAACAAGACTAATTGAATTGATAGGACTGGCCCTGGGTTTTTATAGCACTTTCGAGCTTTCCGAGAGTCTCTTATCAGAACCAAGACCTATGCGAGTGCTACACTAGGTATATAATATTAAAAATAGTCCCAAGATCCCATTCGATGCCAAGGTCAGGGTTAAAAAATGTTCCTAAATATTTGGTTATTTCCCAATTAATCTAATGAAGAACGTCTGTTTCTACATATATGGTATATAATATATAATAATAACTATATAATTATAATGTAAATAATACAAAATATATGTATGGTGCGTTATAAAGTGTTTCTAAAAATTCAAATAAATTTCAGAGTTTTGGGAGGGGACATGGAGATGTTCAAAAGTCAGAGGTCAGAAAACAATAGATAAGCTAGAAGATTTAGTTGCTAATGCCTGTTGAGCCACCTCATATTATGAATCACTTACCGAAATCCATTAAAGATTATTTCTGGATTAAAATAGAAACTGCCAGTTGCGTCCTAAAAATTCCCCACTATTCAGCCTTTGAAATGCAAACACATTTATTTTCAGTCCAAATATTCAATTATGTATAATTTTCCATCGAGAGGGGCCTTTTTTTTAATAATAAAAGTATAAAATATAGAGTACATTTGCAAATTTCAGATATATTTTTATCCTTAAATCCTTCACTCTAATCCTTCCTTCGGATGAAAAAATAAAGCGAAGCCGTTTCTTTTTGGAAATCTGTTTCTCTATCGAATAAAAAATAAAATAAAAAATAAATAACAGCAATCAGTTATCAGTTACATAAGCTTTTATGAAAAAATTCGAATACATACTCAGAACTGAACCACCAGCCAAAACGCAATTCCCTTGCCCAGTTTTTATCCGGATTACCGTCCTCATCACGATCGCAAGTTGAGAACTTGGTTCCCTGGATCAGGTTATAATGCGGTATATCTCCAGTGCATCCCTCAAGCTTCTTTAGCGAGTAGCCTTCGCTGTTGTCGCCCACAACAAAGGTATCGCATCGTAGATCCCGACTGAAGTGGTATAGATACACTTCATGGGGCTTCCAATTAGTTAAAATATGTAATTTTTCGAGCCCAATGAACATTTCGTCCAGTAGATCTCCGAAGCCGTTGATGAACTCTTCATATGTACGATTAAATTTCCTTGAGAGACTAGATCTATATTGAACCTGCATCCATCCAGAACCAATCCACCTATCTGAATAACAATTCACTTTAAAAGGTTCCAATCCTGGGATTTTGATTTCTGGAATGGAAAAATTGTCTTCCTGTGTTGTGGGACAACCATTTGGTAGGACTAAGATATATATACAATGTGTTATGTTTTTTATATATATTCATTACTATATCGTTTTTCCAACATACCTCTGATTGGTGTTTCTGAATTCGACGGACTAGTAGTAGTGTTTGTATCTTTATTGTTTAAGATTTCTTCACTTGTTATATTATATAAAGTTTTCTCCTCATTAATGGGGTCCTCTGATTTTTGTTCTTCAATTTTCTTTGTTGAGTTCAATTCTTTTAGTTCACTTGCTTTTTCCAGATTTAAAATCTTATCATTCAATAGTTTAATTTGAACATTTTTTTCTAGTAATTGTTTTTGTAAATTCATAAGCTGAAGATCTTTCTTTCTCAATTCTTCATTTTCAATATTGACTTTCTTGAATTTATCCTGAACCTGATCGTATTTCAAAGTAGTTTCTTGAAGTCTCTCCTGTGATTTCCTTAGTTCTTGGTGAGTCTGCTGAAATTTTTCTTGGACCTCAGCGTATTTAAGTGCGACATCAGTGCATTTATCCTGAGATTCCAAATGTTTTTCCAGCAGTTCTGAATACTTGAGATTAACTTCGGTTAGTCGATTCTGAACCTCGGAAAGGTTATCCTTCAGCTCTGAGAAGTTCAAGTGCTTCGTCTGGCACTTGTCTAATAATCCAAGTAGGGGCTGCACTATGGCATTGCAGGACTGTGAAAAGAGGAAATAGTATTGTTAGGAAATGGAAACTAATTCCACTAATAATTGCGATAAATACTTTCTCTTCGATTCCCAGGGTACCCGAAATCAGAAACAGAAACGCTGCCAGCAGTAGCATTTTTGATTTTTTTTTTTATATAAAAATATACTTTTATGTTAAAGCAAAAAGAATAATTAAACTGATGGATTTAAAGAATTGGCTCTGGGTTTTTATAGCACTCCCGAGCTTTCTATAGAGCCTCTTATCAGACACCAACACCTATGCGAGTACTCTCAGTGATTTTTTGACTTTATGTACTATATGGTCTGATTTAAATACATATATTTAAAAATTCACACCCATTAAAAAAATATAGAAGTGTTCTGATCTTCGTAAATATTTTAAAAATCCTTGAATATTATTATTTATTAAATAAAATGTATAACTTTTCTTTACTAGTTCCAACTTTAAAGTCACCCATCGGATACCTTAACAGTTTAATAGCTGCTACATTTTCGGGTGTCCGTTGACGAGAAGTTTCCATGTCCGTTGTCCGTTGCCCCGTCATATGTCAAAGCAAATCTCAGCGTTTATTTTATGTTTGATTGAAACTCTGATTAATTTCGGCAGCCACCGGCAGTTGGGGATGCCTATGTCCTTCCACTCCACTCATTCTGGGATACCCGGGATACCCAGATGAATGGAAAATCTACCCACCCACCTACCCTGGTGTATGTCAACACCTTGGCACAGGTGTGTCTCATTCGCTGTTGGCTTTCATTTGTAATGAGTGCCTGGGCACACACGTACTGTAACGGGAACGGCACTGGGTACTGTAAGTGTAACGGTTACGGGAATGGTTCCGGATACGGTGGTGGAGTGGTGGAGTGCCGGTGATGCCATTTCCCATTTCACATTTTCCCATGTGTTTTGGTAACAATCTGTCATACGCTTTTATAGGGTATTCCATCGGGAACGCACCCTTTTTCAATTCATTTAGAGTTTTTTAAGAAATATATATTTAATATATATTTAAAAAAAAATGAAAACTAATTTTTTATTTCTTATTTTTAAAAAATTTTGTAGATATTTTGTTTAGAGTATTTTGTTGTTTAGGTTATCCTTGGTTATCCTTTACAAGGACTCGCCTGATTATCACTTTGCACGTCCTAGCCGGATGCTTTATAGTTGCTTGGCTCGGCCCATCTGCTCCTGGCCCTGGCATGTCCTTTCCTATCCTGTATCCTATATCCTGTTTCCTGTTTATGCGCTTTGCGTGATCACATTTAGTCCTGGGAACCCCCTCTCTCGGCCATGCCCCCACCCACTCACCAATCTACCCAACCTGCCTCATAATGCCTCGCCAACAAGCTCGTAACTCTCGCAGGATTTAATGGCCGCCAGTTGGTGTCCTGGGTCCTTGGGCCAGCTCGTCAGCTCTCCAGGAGGCGAAGGGGAAATCCGACGAGCTAATGCCATGATCTAATTGCTAAAATCAGTGTATAACTAACTCTATCATTGCTACTCTCTGGATGCTGACTTTATCTATATCATGTCCTGTTGTGTCCTCCTGTCCTGTGCTGTGCTCTCGTCCTGTTATTATCCTTAAAAGCCGGCAAGACATTGCCAAGACCATAACCAACTTAAAAGCAGCTAAAATAGACACCTGGGACAACGAGGACTTCTTGGCCAGGATGCCTGAATGCCAGGATGCTGGGTTGCCCAGGTGCAGCTTCAGATGCCCCAATGTCTCAATGTCCCGATGTCCTTGTATTCAGCCAGTCCTGGCTAAGTAAGTGCCAGCTCAGCCAGCTCAGCAAGCTCAACTCCTCAGGTCCTGGTCCGCGTTATCCTGGCAAAAGGCTTCCAGCTTTGGGGGCCAATCCAGTGCCACAAAATTTATTGACTTTGTCGCTGTCGTGTCCTCAGGACTTCTACACTTTTCTCCACCTTTCTTCGGCTATTGCCGCTAAACTCCTTTTCACACTGCAAGGATATTCGGACAGTATTTTCAAGTAGATTTCCAATGAAACTCTCTATTCTATTATCCTTTAAATTCTTCTAAAAATATTTAAAGAAAAATAGACATTAATTTTAGGGGAAGCTTAAAGTTGTCAGGTGTCTGTCTTAATAATTGGACACCTGGCTAAAATTAAAACCAAGTCCTGGCCATAAATCCTGCACGGTCCTTCTCCTCCACCACCCCCCACACACACACACACACATATACAGTGCCAGGACAATGCTTATGAGGATCATGATGATGGTGTTTGGTACTCCAAACTCTGCACGAAATACCCATCCTTACTGGCCACTCCAAATGTCCTGTCGTCCTGCCAACCTGCCACATCCTGGCCATGTTTTGTCTCCCGTTTGCCAGACTCGGGACTCCGCTTGTGGCGAAGTAGAACCAGGGAGGTGGGCCGTCCAGGGTGGTCCTGTTGTTTATGAGCACGTGTAATCACTCGGCCATGGTCCACTTGATGGCCATAAACTGCGACTGCACTTGCTGCATTCCAAAGAGTCTGTCGGATGTTCCTTAAAATCCTTGCCAGAATTTTTAAATATACATATATTTTTAAAGCAATATTTTAAGGAATTTAAGAGTAAAAAATATGCAAAAAACCCCTCAAAGTTTATAAAAAAAAATTAAAAAACCTCCAACAAATAATGAGATGAAGTTTATTATCCGTTATGAAAATCCCTAAAATCAGACTCCTTTGGTCACACTTCCTTTCTTCAAAAATTCTTATATTTTAAGAAATATTATTTTCAAAAAGATAGAATAAGAATTGTATATTTACAAGAAAGTGATAAGAAGCTTTAAAGTTAAGAACTAAGAACTAAGAACCCTTAAAAAAAAAAATCCTTTAAGGACTTGGTCACACTTCCTTACTCCCCAATGATATGCCTTCAACTCGATGACTCCTCCTTGATTGCAGCTATACTTGCACCTGCCGCAGGACACTGACGGCCGAGTTAAGGATATGGGGGGGGCAGACACATGCGAATGGACACACCAATACAAACAAACACACATATACAGTCTCTCACACACATAAATGCATACATATGTATGAGAAGGATTTCGTATATCGCATTCCTGTGAATTTTTGCGAATTGAAATTTTTGAAATTTCCCGTCAGTGTCTGAAAAACTCTTTGCCAGCCAGTCCAGACACATTGGAATCCCGTTAATTGCTCCAACCGGAAGTGGAGTACAGGACGGTATGCCACGCCCCCTACACATGTCCCTGTGTCCCTGAAATACCTGTCACCTCCAATAAAACAAAAACGCTTAAATTAAAAAGAAAAACCTTGAAGAAATTTAAGAAAATTTAATGAATTTAAAATTTAATTTAATATTAAAGCGGTTGTTAGTTTAGTTTATGATTTAACATTTACATATATTTCTTAAACTTAAATATTTCTTAAATTTCTTGACTTCCAAAAATATATGATTATTCAACTTTAAAAAACTTCCAAGAAACTTAAATTAATATTAAAAATTTATTATTTAGATAAGAATCATTGATTTTATTATTATTATTTATTTAATAGCTCTTCTCTTTGGCTCTCTCTCCCATGCTCTCAATGTCTATGTTAACAGCACTGTTAACAGCGGTGGGTGGGAGAGAGCCTTCGACATGGCTTACTCTCATTTTGCGCCCACTTGCATTCTCCCGTTAACAGCTGTTAGGCGTAGCAGAGCTGCCAGCAGAGCTTGAAAGCATCAACAAAAACAAATTTTTTTTTCAAAAAATCGGTCGCGTCGCTTGCTTCGCTGTCGCTTCGCCGTGGAAATTAATTCTTCTTCTTAAAAAAAAAATCGCCTTAAATGTTGTTTAAAAATTAGTTTAAAAAACAAAAACGGTTAGTGTTTCACTTGTTGTTTATTCTATTCTGGTTGAATTTTTTACATCATTTTTTTCATCGTGTAACGTGTGTGTGTGTGTCTGTGTATGATATTTTGTTTGTTTGTGTTTCGATCAATGCAAAAAATAAAAAATTTACAAAAAAAAAAGAAAAGTAAAGAAAAGCAAAGAAAAGAAAAGAAAAAACCTTTCCCAACACAAAACCAGCAGTGCCCCCCAACAACAACAAGTGCGCGAGTGCGAGTGCGAGTGCGAAGGCGAGTGCGAGTACCCAGTGGCGAGTACAAGAGTGCGAGAGTGTAAGAATAAAAACAAAAACTGGCGACAGCTGTTTATAAAGTTTTTGGCCAAAATGCTAAATTAATAACAACCGCAATAATAAAATTTTAACCAAAAACAATAACAACAACAGCAACACAAACGGCAGTTGGAGCATATACCGTTGCTTTTTTTTTTATTCATTGCAAAGAAGGCTCAGAAGAAGCCAGGGGGGGAGGGAAAACAATAACAAAAGCAAAAAAAAAAGAAAAACAACAAAAACAAAAGTGCTGCCTGCGCAAAAGTCGACTCTCACGTGTTTTTTTTGATAAATGTGAATGCAAAAGGTAGCATCGCGACGAAAGGGGGGGGGACACGACGAAAATTCCCATGCGGCCGCTTATTCCGCCCCAAAGCCGATGATGATGATGATGATGAAAATGCCGATGAACAGCAGCAACACGATAATGATGTTTGAAGCAAGCAGCCACAGTAGCAGCAGCAGCATCAAAAGCAGCTGTTGAAAAAAAAAACAAAACAAAGGTATGTACTGTATTTGTTTTTTTTGTTTTTGCAAGATCCTTGATCATGACAGGTGGCTGTTCCCCCATTTTGTTTTTGTTTTTATTTTGTTATTGTTGTTGTACTCCTTTGGGAGCGGCATTTCAATAAGTATGTCAACAGAGAGAGAGAGTCAAAGAGAGGGAGCCCAAAGATGGAGAGAGGACATTTGTCGTCGCCTAATTTGGCAAAAAAAATAAAAAAAAACGAATAAGGAGACAAATCAAGAGAAAAACTGTGAATACAGTGAAAGTCATTCAAATAGGACACATATCCCCAGGTCATTCTTTAGGTAAAAATTTTAAGAAAAAAGTTTTTAATATTTAAAAAAAAAAAAAAATTTTATAAACAAAATATAAACAAAATAATTTATACTTTTGAACTTTTGTTGCAAAATATTTGTATGGAAAACCTAGATAATTTTCCCAAAAATATTTCGTAAATATATTTTCTAACAACAACTAATATTTTGCCCATGACTGTAAATGGCCGCTGGAGTGGGTGGATTGTAGTGGGGTGTATGGGTCGGGAGGGAGGTGGTGAGGCAAACATGGCGCAATATACCAAACAATTCCATTGATTTTTCTTGTGGGAATAGTTGGAAAAGCGACACTGTAGACATAGGAAACAACGGTTTGCTTTTCTTTTCTTATTTTTTTTTTTGTTTTTTCTTCCTCTTCACCACCCCCCCTGCCCTGAAGAAGCCTGCTTACCGTTATCCTGGCATGCTCCACATCGTTGTCCTTTGCAGTTGTTTTTGTTATTTTTGTTATTTTGTTGTCGCCTTCCTTTTGCGTCTGTCTGCTGTCGTTGAACTTTTTGCAACATGCTTCGACTTCTAGTTTACCGTTAACCTCCCAAAGACCCCACCTCGCCACCTCCCCACCTCCCCCTCTAAGTTGCATGAGTTGTGTAAGTAGCTCCTCCCCTGACTAACGGAATTTATGTTAATTTGGTGCCACATTCCTTGAGCGAAACCCCCTTTTCTACTCTTAAAGGATATATATATATATAGAGATATACCATATATCCTGAATTAGACAAAATATGTTAACAATTTTTCGCAAAAAAAAAAAAAATCAATCTGATTCGAATATTTGGCAAAGGATATCCTCAAAGGATAATAAAGTCATCAACATTGACAAAGTATTTAAATGTTTAATAAAAATTATCCTTTTTCTGCAAGGATTTGGGAGTTTTTCCTGCGATT